TTTTTTTATTTATCTGTTGATTAGGGCCGGAGGAAAGTATTGTTGGGTTGGTTACCTCCCTCCGTTTTCCCTCCCACCCACCCCTTGCAYGCATCCCGTTTCGGTACAGTGCCACGTCAGCAGTGCCACGTCACAGTGCCAGATCAGCAGTGCCACGTCAGCAGTGCCACGTCACAGTGCCAAGTCACAGTGCCAGATCAGCAGTGCCACGTCAGCAGTGCCAGGTCACATTGCACGTCAGACTTAGTGCCAAGACAGCACTGCCACATCAGACACAGTGCCACGTCAGCAGTGACGTCTGACACAGTGCCACGTCAGAAGTGCCACGTCAGAAGTGCCACATCAGCAGTACCACGTCAGACAGTGCCACATCAGCAGTGCCACGTAAGCAGCAGTGCCACGCCAGCAACATGACGGGCCTGCCAGGCCAACTCGCCAATGAGACCATTGCCGCCTACAAGCAGCGTTGCCTGGCTCAGATAGAGGCTGAGGAACAACGCCTGCTGGCAGTCGAGGCTGCCCGCGTACAGGCTGAAGAGGCAGCAGCAGCAGAGAAGCTGCGGCTACAGGCCGATGCAGATGCAGATGCCCAGGCTCGCCGCAAGGAAGCCCAGGATCTGCTGCAGCGGCATGAAGCCAACAGCATCAACAGACTCAAGTACTGGCATTTTAAACCGAACGGCGACGAGGCAACACCGGAAGAGAAGCACAAGGAGTTCCTCTCCAAACTCGTGACGCGGTTGTTGTATGCTTGCAACTACCAACGGTCAGAGTTGGAGAGACAGTACCGGGACCTGATGCAACAGCATCAGGAGTTGGCGACACTCCGCCGCACAGTGTAGAGCCACGAGGATGCAACTCGGGCACTCAATGCCCGATTGTTGGACCTGGAACAAGCTGTACCAGGACCAGCTGCTGAAGCTTCCAGCAGTGCACCCTCAAGCCGCCAACTGGAGGACCGCGTTGACCACGTAGTGGCAATGCTCGGCGACATCAGCACCTTCGCTGCGCCGACCACCACCATCAGCAGTCAGCTGCATACATTGAACACCGAGGTCCAAAAGCTGCAGTCGACGAACGCGGACGACAATCCGAAGATGTACAAGATGCCAACTTTCAACCTGGAAAGGTTCGACGACTACACGCAGCAGGATCCCGTCCTCTGGTGGGAAGCATTCACAACGCAACTCAGGATGCTGCCAGTAGCCAACCATGCGTACATCGGCGCCCTGTTCCTGGACTCAAAGGGCGGATGCCAGACCTGGTTGAGCCACCTGGCAACCTCCCACGGCGTCGACGTACCAGACTTGAAGGACGTAATCACATGGGAGGAACTAACACGGCTGTGGAAGAAGCGGTTCATCGTCGACGACCCGCCGACACTCGCCATCAACCGTTTGTTCACCATGTCACAGGGCAACACAGCAACACRGGACTGGCTCACGGAGTGGCAGAAGATTGCGGCTGTGCCCAATCTGAACCTACCATTTGAGCATCTACGCCGTGAGTTCTACAACAGGTCCTGTGCGGCATTGAGCCAGGCTCTTGGTGATCGCGAGCAGTACTCAACCTTCGCGGAGATCATTGACAAAGCGAGGGAGATCATCAAGACCAACAGGTCAGCTGCAGACGAGAAATCAACATCATGGCAGACAACCTATGTGGAGAAGGTACGAACTGGTCCGCGACAGCAGCACTTCGCTGCAGTCCAGCAGGACAGTGGAGATAACCCAGCAGTCACTCCAGCATCAAGTGACGGAGATCAGGTGGCCGCTGTCCAGCAGCGAAGCACCAACAAGTCCCGCAACAATGGAAAGGCGAACTCCGCATCGCAGGCCGGAAATGGACAGCCAGGACAGTTTCCATGGGTCAAGTTTGGCTTGACCGAGGCGGAGTACAAGGTCCGCGGCCGCTACGGCAGCTGCTATTGGTGCAACAGCACCAAGCACAAGACCTCCCTGTGCCAAGATCAGGGCAAGGAGGATGTGCGACCCCGCCACAGCTCGGGAAACTGAGCTGCGCGGAAGGTGAGGCGACTCCACCTTCTACTCCACCAGATTCGGCCGCCTTGCTAGCGGCCTCCTGCACATCTGGGGAGGATGCGAATGTCGCAAGTCCTCGGTATACTTACGAAGATTATGCCGTCCACTTGGTTCCACCGCTGGACCAACCGCTCCACGTGCAACAGTCCACCGCATGCACAGTTTCATCACCATCGGCAACCGATTCGGCAGCTTCGCCGCAA